TAAGGGCATTATTTCAGGAGGAAATATGCCATCTTTCATTTTTTTTCTGTATCTCATACCTGTTACCTGTTATGTTTTCACACACCCCCTTCACTTTGCAGCCCCTCCAAATCCCCAATATTTTTCTATATATTTCCCACCTTTCTTCAGCAGTCTGATTGGTGAATAACTATGTAACCATGTCCTGCTTCTGCTCTCCTGGGATGAAATTGTAAATACTGAAGAGCTGCGTTTGCAAAACCAACCAAAATGAATAGGTACAATAATCATTAACAGGATGGGTTGCTTGAAAGCTGGAAAATAGATTTGCATACATAAAATCCCTGTAAAAAGAGGCAAAATAGAAGACTGAAGAAATCTAGTGCCTTTGAATGCTTTAGTTTAATTAGAGCCTGTTCCCATGAAATCTGTATAGAAACCATAAGTCATTTTCCTTTATATAGGTTTGTTGTGTTTGAAGGAAGTGAGTTACAGTCTTAGAAGACTTTATGTATAGCGTGAAGAGAAGAAGAGTTAATCATAATAGAAAAAGGGTATGTGCTCATGTGTTTGAAATAGCTGTCAATTAAATAACAATCTCAACAGGAGAGACTATATAAATAAAGTGATGGGCTATAATGTATTTTGAAAGAAGGTGGCATCTCTCTCTCCTAGGAAAGTTTTATTCCAGGTCTAGTCGACTCTGTTTCTCTAGAGCCCTGTCTATTTTGTAATCTCAGAGGTAACATTTCCATGGCCCTTTGAGCTGGTCTGATTTGGGGGTCTTGCAGTCTTACTGCCTATTAGAGCCTGCACTCCTTTTGTGTTAACTGGCAGTGAGTTGAACAGACTGAACACTACACTTGGTTGCAGGAATGGTTGGTGTCTGGCTGGACAAGCCCCAGTGTTCCTCAGTAGTGCCAGCTGAATAGGTGGCTGAGGAGCGGAGAGGGATGAGTCTGCGTGGGGCTTGAGGTGGCAGGCTGCTTTTTGTATCCGACTGAACCGTTAACACCCTCTGTGCTAGCCTGTGGTGGCCACACAGGTCCTGATATTTGATAGTGCTGTTTCAGTCTGTTTAGTGATATATTGACAGAAAAAAAAAAAAAAGATTACATGAAAGAAGCCAAGTAAAAGAAAATATGTAGAAGGCTACTTCTTGGGAGGAGGATAATAAGACACAGTTAAAAGGAACCTTTATTAAGCTTCAGTTTGGCATAATTATGCCGGTACAAATGAAAATTAATAATACACAACAGGCCGAAGGTCCTGCCAGAGATTGGAAGGTATAGTTGCATAGGCCTAAATGGATGTCTTAAAAGTAATCAAGCAGTTTGGGGGAGGGTGTATTTTTCCACATAAACTTTGCATGTACATGAGCTGTTCCACTCCAGAGCTGTTTATCTTAATGCTTTGTGTAGGCTTGAGTCTGCATTTTTATCTTTTTTTTTTGCAAAGTTAAGTCCCTTTCATTGCAAACCAGCTTGACCTGTGGTAGTTCCTGAAGAAGTCTCTCTATATCATATGGCCCTACTGATCTGTATTTAATGTAATTCTTTCACTGGCTTATACTTTAACCTTCTGAGCAATTTTTCATTGGTCTTTTAACTGCGTGCAATTCTTGACACTTCTTTTAAAATGCTGAAAGGAGAGTTCTTATTTGTATTGTAGTCCTAATGCTTATTTTCCTTCTTTTATAATAGTTTTCTCTTTCCTCTTAGTGGAAACTAATCTACTAAATTCTGTATTGCTTTTACTCTTTGGAAGTAATTTACCTCCACTTGTATTGTTTAGACTAATACATTTTTATGAAAGCGGTATGCTCCTCTCTGTTTCTTCGTACTTAATTACTTCTGAGCCTGTAGACCAATGTCAGCCAGAATTGACAAAGTGGTGTCAGTGTCAACAATACCAATTTTTTCCAGGTTTTATGAAAATAATTTCTGTTTCTGCTAATGGAAAATCTGCAGCGTGATTTCACATTATCTGCTCTGTTAGACCTGGCTTAAACTGGCCAGCTAGTTGATGTCTAGATCTGAAGCAGTTGGTGGTTGAGCTGCTCTTTGACAGTCTGACAGAGAGCACAGCTGGGTCTTACAACAGTGCTGTAAGAGCTCCGGGCTGTGGCCAGAGGGAGCCTGGAGTTTGCAATGCAAACGTGAAGTGTAGTGTGTATGTGAGAAGTGTAGGATGCATATATGAGATAAGTGATTCGTACCTGATCTTGGAGTACCTCATTCTTAAAACTGAGCTCTGTAAAGCTATAATTTGCATGGAGCAGCCTTCAAAACGTGTTGATTACTGAAATTTTGAGTTAGAAGCTGGTGTATATGCTGGTTTACACGTGATTCCAGGGTTTGACAGCAGTAAGTTTGTTGAAGTTTAATGTCTGTTGGCATATTCTGTAAATAGATTTTTCTTTTTAAGAGGGAAAAATCCAGGAAGAGGATGTATTTGTAATCTTCATTTACATCTTATAGCAGCTCCATGCTGAAAAGATAAAATAACAATTTTCAGTTTGGAGTTTTATCTTTTGTTTCTTGGGGTGGTGTTTTTTGTGTTTTGTTTTTTGGTTTGTTGGGTTTTTTTTTTTGTTTTTCTGGGGGTATTTTTGTAAGGGGGAGGTTTTGTAAAGTGTTTTTGTAAAGAGTGTTTTTGATTGGGGGTTGTGGTGCTTTTTTTCCCAGTGCCTTTTTGTAAAAGGTGGTTCAACAGGATGTTTGGGGGAAATGTGACATTATTGGGTTTTGGCATTCCAGGAGAGCTTGAAGTGGATCCAGCATACTGTCTTATGCATTCCCTTCTGCACTGAATGTCAGGAGTAATTCATGTTGTTGACAGCTATGTCAACATGTGAAACTGAATGAAGGACAGGAACTAAACAAAAAGCTAATAATAGAAGAGGCAAGAAAGTGGGAAGGGAACACTTCGTTAGTAAACTTTCTCGCTGTCACAAGAGGGTCAAATAGTGCAGCCTGTCCTTATCTGTTACCACAAGCACCTTCTTGTTGGCAGTGTTCAAGCGAAAGAGAGCTGTTTATACATCTATGTGCGTTTCGTCAGTATGGGAAACAAGCAGTTTACACAAGAAATGCACACAGTGGGTTTATATAGAGGCATACACAAGCAATTTTGATTCATCTCCATTTGTTCAAAAGCTCTCCGAAGACTGGTGTCACTTGCACCCATTGCACACATCAGTTTGTCTGCCAGGCAATATGAGGCAACACGGTAGTTGTTGTTTGATGCATCTTCTGCAGTAGAAGAATCAGCTTTGGTTTAGTGTTACCACACTATGTATCCTGTGGTAAACTAACCGGCCACTCCAGTACAGGCTGTTGAAGAAACGTTTATTCTATTTTGAGGCATGCTTAGTCATCCCTAGTTTGGCCTCTTAAGAGGTTACAGGCATTACTCGTTTTCTTTCCTAGTAAAGCTGATGAACAAGTTAATCAGAAGGCCAGTTTGTGAGAAAGTTTGTGGTGCTGGAGGATGTGAATTCTGGAGTGCTGTGTTATTGCCCAAGTGTGTTGTGTACTGCTAGCAGTAATCAGAGAAAACATCCTGGGTTCATTGTGTGTTAATAAATCTAACGGTTTACATCATGCAGGTGTGGAGTGGCTGCTAAATATGGGACAAGCATATGTAAGAAGATCTTTATTAGTAGGGAACATGATACAGCCCGAGGAAACATTCAGCTATAAATATTTCTTCACTGTTGTAAACAGAAAACTTTACTAAAGAGACTTGTTTTCAATTTGGCTTTCTCTAATTGCTAAACCTGCTTATATGTTTGTCTTGTGATTTGTTGTAGGCTGTGTGAACCACATCTGTACCTTAATTATTAGTATGTTTTGTGTTGTTTTTTAGGTGGCCTGGCAGCATGCAGATCTAGTGCCTTTTGTGTTTAACTGAGTGGTTACATAAATGAAAATGTTTTCTCTTATCAGAAGTAAAATGCTTTCTATGGGGACTTCAGCTTCTGATGCCAGGACTCTTTTGAAGACTTACTTTGTTGCTTGGCTTAAAGGAAGATGATGTTAATGAATTCTGAGCATCCTTCAGGAGGCTGGTGATCCTTCTGTCATTGGTGAATGCTATCATGGACAACTTCAAAGGGTAAAGACAGTATTTTTGTGAGTATTTCAGGTTAGTGCTCTGATATAGGAAGCAGTGGGTTAAGTTTTTGGTTTATATAAACTGCCCAAAGCATGCTCTTTTCACTCTTAAAACTGTTCACAAATCATGGGAACAAATTAGAGATAACAGTTTGATGGAGCAGCTGTACAACTTTCTACATGAGCTGTCTTTGAAGAGTATTTACTCTCCAGATTCTAACATAATATAGATACACTTGAGCTAGCTTTAAATTAACTGATTTGGGTCTGGCCAGTCGTACTGCAAAATATAAGCAGTGAAGTAACTTAGGTTTTTTTGAGCTGTGTATTGCTACAGCCTTACCTGAGTACTTGGTTTAGAAGTCAGTTTTACTTTAAGTATTTCAAAACTATACTATGGATAATTTTAGCTGTACCTTCAGATACTCTTCTACAGTTGTTTACTTCAAAGCCCATATTTCATTTCATACTTGATTTCATTTCCGTAAGTCAGTTCAAGGTTTGTTTGTTTTTTCTTAATAAATCCCTGAAAATAATGCTTAATTTAATTATTAGTCTTTTTGTTGCTCGATGGCTAGTTTTGGCTAGTCTTTTTGTTGCTTGAGGGTTAGTTTTGGCTAATGTTTCTTCATAGTCTTTTTTTAAACACAGTAAACGGGAAGCCACACCTAATAGCCTCCAACTAAATAATTGTCTTAAAATCTAGTAGTTTATTACTGGTTTAGTAGCAGTATTTTGTTTAAGACAATATCTAAAGGAGTACAATTTGCTTTCTAAGAATGTTTTATCTGCCTACTATGTTTATTCATTCTGTTTTATCAGCTCTTTTCCAAAACACCACAAGCAGTTAATGCACCTTATAAAGGACTCCTGACCTTTTGCATCTTCCCGAGTCAGATCTAGATGTCACCAGTGTTTCCCATGTTAACAGTTCTGAGCATGTTTTACTATATGTGCCTTCGGCGCCGAGCTAGGACAGCAACGAGAGGAGAAATGAACAGCCGGAGGGCTATTGAATCAAACACCCGAGCCTTACCTATCAATGTTGAAATAGTTCAGTATGCCAAAGAAGTGTTGGATTTCAGCTCTCACTATGGTAGTGAAAACAGCATGTCGTATACCATGTGGAATTTAGCAGGTATTCCGAACGTGTACCCTAGTTCTGGTGACTTTACTCAGACTGCCGTCTTTCGAACTTACGGAACCTGGTGGGATCGTTGCCCTAGTGCTCGGCTGCCGTTCAAGAGGACACCACCAACCTTCTGTAGCCAGGATTATGTGGAACTCGCTTTTGAGGAACCAGTTTATCCCACTGCAGTGCACATTCTGGAAACGTATCATCCTGGAGCTGTAGTCAGGATTTTGGCATGCTCTGCAAACCCTTACTCACAAAATCCACCAGCTGAAGTAAGGTAATTTTTTTTTCTCCTTAATGCTTTCCTGTAAGGTGTTAAATGCTACAAATAATGCTGTGTAGCAAACTTTACTTCCTAGTACTGCTGTTTCATATCTGATCCACTGATATTTCCCTTATTTCTGCATGTTTTTAAAACTCTGGTGACATGTTTTGATAGCAACTTGAGATGTGGATTTTTTTTTGTAGGAATCAGTGCAGATCCTCATTACATTTGTGTAATGATAGGTTTTGTGTTGGAATTTTAATGAGTAATAATTATTATGTATGTAGAGAAATCACTTTTGAAATGGCATTTCTGAGTTCTTCTCTTTCTCCAAAAAGAAAAGCAAATTGTGTAGGAGAGGCTGAGGATTCATGGTTGCTATGTCATCCTGCTTCAAGTAGCCATAAACTCTTTCTTCTCTCTGCATGCTTTAGGTTGTATGTATAGTACAATCAGGCACTATAACTATTCATATGGAAATGAGGCCAAACCCAGAAGCACAGAACAGTTGGACAAAAGGTGATGCCATTTGTCTGATCTTTATTTTTGGTATGATCAAAGAGTGTGAGCCACACATCATTTTTACAGTTGCTTCGTAGACTAAAACAAAGCTGATTTGATCCTTTTGGTTTTCCTCATAGTAGGAAGTAATGGTGAAATTCCAGTTGTGGGGCAGGAAGATGGGGACCTGGGAAATGGTAAGATAATAAAGAAAAACACTGTAAAAGGTGTTAAGCTCTTAGTGAGGAGATTAGGAAATAGAAATGGAAGGAGAAAGAGAATAGGTAAAAGCACAGAGGGGAAAAACATGGGGAAAAGCTATCAGTATATGCAGTCGAAGTACTCTGTATACATAAAAAAGATACTAAATAACCCATAAAAGAAAACTGGTAGAAGAAAGACTATCCTGTAGAAAATAATTTGCCAAACAAATCCTGTATTCCTTTAAAATGCAGGCTTTGGCAGTATAAGCAGTTTTAGCTTGGATACTGGGTGTTTTTTTCCTGACTTGCCTTTCATGGATACAGCTAAAAAGCATACTTCTAGGTCTAATTTAGTATCCCATGCTTCCTAATACTAGGCCGTTGATGTTTACTGAAAATCCCTAGAAAATTGTGTGTCATGTTATATATTCAAAATTCCCAATTAGTGTATTTTGTATGGTTCTGTCATTTACTGTTTTTTAGTGCAGTTGTTTTACAGTGCTCTGGTAAGTATATACTGTATAGGTCTAAAGTAAACATCCGAATTCAAGGGATGGTGGTAGGTCAAACTAATAATAATAGGCCACCTAACTTCAGAAGTAGGAGGAGTGTGTTTGGTACTGTAATACAGAACTTATTTATAGGGTGGTATGTGGTGAAGGTAGCTTTTAAGACTTTTGAACTTAAAGCCTAATGTGAAATGTCTTTTGGTCAGTTACTCTGTGAACTTTCATTTTACTACTTTATTTTATGACATAGAACAGATTTATGAAGATATTATTTCTGTAACTTGATAATACTGCTTTAGATTAATAGTTAGATTGTGTGCTGCAGGACAGTATGAAGGTATAATTCTGAGTAATAAGCTAATGCTATTTTATAAAAATGTCTGTTTAGGTTTTGTTTCTTAAAATAATACACTTTTAGTTTTGTGTAAAGACCAATAAGTGTTGTAGGAAAGCTCAAGAAGTGTTAACTAAAAGAGCTATTTAGTAAGGTGCACAAAAAAAAAAAGGAAAATTTTTCAGAGTGCTAAAAGAAGGTGAAAGTAAAAATACTTAAAAGTACTCATATAAAACTTCTTGGATGTGGTTTATGACTGTTCTGGGGTGTGGACAGAGTCAGAGCTCAGACTTCCTGTTCTTTGTTAAATAAGGATGAAGTTTCTGTTGGACCCTGCTTTTGAATCTGTAGGCAGGAGTATCTTCTGTTCTGCCTACCTAGGTTAACAATATGTTGGTTAGAAGAAGGTTGTCTCAGGGATACTCAGAACAAGTTGTCTGTGCTGCATCTTCAGGACTTGCCAGTTTTGATGCTAGGGAGGTGTTAGAGGGACTTCTTTTGTTTGTTTCCTTTTGGCTTCCCTTTCCTCAGCAGGACTTGTCTGTTGAGAGCTGCACATTTGGTTTGGCTCCTTCTTTCTTCTGAAAGAGACAAACATGTCTTAATGTCTTGAAGGGAAGATAAAGGAACTCTTTCTCCACATGAGGTATTCAGTATTTTTCCTCTGTTCTTTTGCTCGCCTTTATGAGGGGAATATGAAGAGTTGCAGGAATGTGGTCTCTTTTCTGCTTCAGTTCTTGGTCCTTTGTTTTCACTTCCAAAAATTCTCTGAGCTGTCAGCTAAGAATTTTTTTTTTTTTGAAGGTGGAACGCTGCTGATAATCTCAGTTATTCTGTGTTGTACTGATGTTTTGGACTTGAAGAACTGTCACACTATTTCCTTCTGTTAAAAAGGCCCTGTCTCAGTTACTGGAAGGACACTTAGAATTTGTCTTCCTCCTCTGACTATTTTGACGTGAAATTTTAAATCACCTTATTACCTAAAAACCTTAAAATGGTATTTTATCTGCTGACTCCAGATTCGTTTCTTTCTGAACACTAATGTAGAACGGGCAGGTTATTAGAAAGGTTTCTTTTCATCAGTTCTTACTTTGATATAAAGAAAAGGCCATGTTAATGGTGAATTCAAAACTGTTGAGAGGAAAAAGCCTGTTGAGACTTATTTAAATGTTATATTTAGTGGATTATACTAGTTAGCTGAGTAATCTTTTTACTTTTTTCTTTGTTTAGTATTAAAAACATCAGCTTATCCAAGACTGCTGTGTGCAAAAACTTCTAACCTACAAGAGGCTCTGTAAGGACTTGGGGCACCACAGCCCTCACTCAAGAGGATATATTTATATTCTTGTGGAAAAGTGTCTGTAACTCGCATTGGCCAGTGTGTTGCTGTTGCTGATGTTATGCTTCAGTTGCCTGAAAGAAGGAATTACACAGGTGTTCAGAAAAAGGTCTTTAGTCATGTTCCTCTGTTGCTGGTGCACTGAACACTGCTATCAGTTACAGCTTCATATGATGCTCAGATCAGTTTTATTCAGAGTCTTTTTGTAGAGGTGGGATCATCTCTTTAACAGTTAATGTGAAATTATTTTCAACTAACTTCTAGGAGTTTAAGATTTCTCTGTCTTCTTATAGCTTTTTCTGCTTTAAACACAGAAGACATTATATCACTCTCCTGCATAAAACAATTTTTAAAAATCATAAATGTCATAGAAACTGCTGTCTTTATGGACCTTCTGTGCTTTTCATTGGTGCGACTTACACCTTGACTGTAGAGAAGTGTTTGGTAGTTTCTTAAACTACACTAACATACATTAATATCCATGTATAGATTTGTTACATTAATTACCTGAGTGCAGAAGATCCAAGCAAAAATTAATAATTTGAAATCAAGGGAGTATTGTAGCATAGAGTCTCAGTTGTTACATGGTGGAGAAATCCACCCTTTTTTTTTGTGTTCTGATTATTATACTAGTGTAGCCTTGAGATTTTTGTATTGTGGTGCACATTCTTTGTACTTAGGGTTTGGTGACAGCATGAGGCCCTCTTTGGGTAGTGGAAAAACTGGCTTAGAACTGCCTTACCTCATGTAGGTTATAGTGACACCACATATTCATGTGCTTTTATAAAAGCTTAAAACTAGAGATTCCTAACTAGTCTGAGACGTGTGGCTGTGCTTGGGGTGATGTTTCATAGCATATAGGTGCTGGAGAGTGTCCAAAGAAGGGGAACAAAGCTGGTAAAGGTCTAGAGCACAAGTTTTACGAGGAGCGCTTGAGGGAGCTGGGGTTGTTTATCCTGGAGAAGGCTCAGGGGGGACCTTATCGCTCTCTACAACTACCTGAAAGGAGGTTGTAGCGAGGTGGTGGTTGGGCTCTTCTCTCAAATAACATGCGACAGGACAAGAGGAAATGGCTTCAAATTGCACCAGGGGAGGTTTAGATAGGAAAATAAGGAAAAGTTTCATCACCAAAAGGGTTGTCAAGCATTGGGACAGGCTGCCCAGGGGAGCAGTGGAGTCCCCATCCCTGGAGGTATTTGAAAGACATGTACATGTGGCATTTAAGGACATGGTTTAATGGTGGACTTGGCAGTGCTAGATTAACAGTTGGACTCAATCTTAAAGGTTTCTAAACCTTTAGAGTAACCTAAAAGAATTCTCTGATTCTGTATGTCCTTACTGCTATGCATTGGTTGCTTCTTTAGTAGGTTGAAGATTGCTTTATGATTTTTATTGGGGTTTTTTTGTTTGTTTGGTTGGTTGGTTTGGGTTTTTTAATTGTTTCACAGATAAAGCGTAACACTGATCAGGTGGTTTCTCATAGGTGAGATACCATGATCATTTGACTGGCTGGGAGCAGTTCCATTATGACTTGTGTGTTCCTGCCGTTTATTTCTGTTTGATTTAATTTATTTCATCTTAGAATTTTGCTAGACGCTCTTTTGAGCAAAACTCCCAAGTTTCATTTGTAGATGAACGGCTTGGCTCGGTATTTCCTAGCTTAGCTGTGTTTGCTGCTTGTGGGATTCTTTCTCTTTCTAAAGGTCTTGAAGGAACCTAAGATGATGCTGATACCATCAACACATTAGAGTGTGATAAGGCACCTTCAGGGCTGTATCTCACCTATGTGTAACATACAACTTAAGTTCTAGCCATTTGCATCCTTACTTAAAACTTGTTTTGACATCTTCAGGGAAACAGCTTTTTCATGTTCATATGCCTGTCATAGGAGAATGAAATCTGGGTTCATGGGACATAGTCATTTTTGAGAAACTGATAAAAAGCTTATGTGGACAGGGCAGTTATTTGAAACATCTCTTGCAATTTCAAATGCCCTGAGCATGCTTGGAGTCCTGTCTGCTCTCTCTGGTATTTCAGAATTGAATTCTCTAAATAGAAGTGAAAATTTGCTGTATATTCCCTCATCGTAATTAGACTGCTGTGAACTCTGCTTATCACCTTGATTTGAATGTTCTAACATTATTCTTAGGATTAGTCTCCCCTGCATTTTGTATTTATGAACTCACAGCTGTGACCAGGGGTGGGCTTCCCAGGTGATGTGGAACCTAGTGTGCTGGCATGTTAGCAGACAGGAGACATTTCCTTGTTGGTAGCCTACAGATTATTTACAGAGCACTTGCTTGGGTACGAGCAGATTTTATAATCACATGTCATGATTATAATTGTTGCAGAAGTTGCAATTTCAGCAAAGGTGTGATCATATTATTCTTTGAGTTTCCTTACTTTTATTCTCCAAGTTTCCTTATGTTCTCCTTGTTGGTCTATCTGAAACTTTCCATTCTTTTGGTTTTTAATGCAGCTATCAGTTTCTTGGGACAGGGTGTTTATTTTTGTGCTTGAATCACACGTAGTGCTTTATTCACTTTCAACACCAATCTCAATTTTTATAATGCAAGAAATATCAGGAGATTACAGGCAGAGTTTAATCTTGTCTTACTGAAGAGAAATCTGATTACATTTTCTAGGAGCCACTTTTCCAAAGAATCTTTCTTATTATATATTTTCTTCAGAAGTAACCAGGTCTACTCAGGCGTCAGCCATTAAAAACCTTTCCAACAGCATTTGGTTAAGAAAAAAATTAAACAAACATTAAGTATATGCATTCATTTGACACAAACCTTGCAAGTATGTTTCTCAGCCAAAAAATCCCTAGACTGTATTATCCTTCACAGTGGAAAATACAGGTTTTTTAAACCACAGGTTTAAAAAAATGCAGATTTTGGGGGGGTTTTTTAGTGGTTTTTTTTTTTTTTTTTTTTTATGTTTTTTAAACCACATGTGTGTGTATGGAGTCTTCAGTAACAGAAATCTGAACAGAGTGAGTTTCTGATTCTTTTCATGAGGTAGAGAGAAATCTGATGGGAAAACTGAGTCCATTAAAGCTGAATGGAAAATAGTCACTTAAAGTCCGCATTTTCTTCAGTGACTAGGGAAAATAATACAGATGTTTCTGCTTCTCATTCAGGCTTTGAATGGCAGTGTAAAGACTGAGGCTTTCTAGCACATTGCTGATGAAACTTTCTTACCAAAGCACTCTCATTGCAACATCTTCAATCAGCTGTGTATCTGGTAGACTTGAGGACAAGCCAAATGACCTTCAGTCATTTGATTCAGCTTAATTTTTTTTGAGAGCTACCTAGTTAACTCAAGGGGGAAATTCCTTTGACTTCTTTACAGGTATTTGTTGGGATTCAAGTTCTCTTTTTGTTGGGTTAAATAGTTTATTGAGCATTTTAAGCTTGAAACAAATGCAGGCAAACTTACTAGGGAAGCTGATTTTGGTACGCTCCTTCAAACCAGAGCTGATGGTCAAGATGTCTTTCTTCTGAATGGTTTTGGAATGGATGATCAGAACAAAAAAAATGCTCCAGAACAGAAGTAGTGCAGTTCTTATTGAAGGCTTTTGGAAATTTAGACTTTTTTTATCCATTTCCAACTGTGGAGTCTTCACTCCCGTTCAGATCACATGTAGTCCATTTAAGTGTCAAAAGTACTGATCCTAGATGAAGAGACCACTTCCAGTTGCACTCAGGAAGAATTTACCAACCCTGACTCAGAGCAATTGCTGTGGCCTGTTCTTGTGTGTGGTGCCACCACGGCAGAGAAGAACCATCAGATCAACCTGATAGACCTGAGGTTTTCCAGTTTAACCAACAGCTAATTCCTTTAAAGTTAGATTGGTGGGCTGTTGATGAAAACAGTATAAGGACAGTGAAAAATGGTCACCAGTCTTGTTCGTCAGTACTGGGTATGTAGTGTGGAGTTTCACAAGACTGTAAGTTCATGCTATGTGTCTTTCCTTTTCTCTAATGTATTACAAAGACTGACATACTACTTGCTGAAGGTGATTATTGCTCTGCAGTTTGATGGACCTAGACCTTCAGATGCCTTCTTTTTTTTTCTTTTTTTTTTTTTTTTTCCCCAGTGCTAGATAATACTCTCTCCAGGGCACCAAAGGAGAAGTCAATAACTGAGACATACTCTGTTAAAAGTTGATGGATCAGCGTGTGCTAAATTAGAGGAAAAATAGCTTTGAGTTTCCCTAAGGATAGTTTGAGTGGGTATATGAAAGCATCTAAGCAAAATGTCAAATGGTGATCTGGATGTGTTCAAGAAAGGTCATGTGCATTGCCAACACAAAGTATTTGCACAGGGAATCGACCTATGTGAGCGCGCGTGACAGTGTGACTTTATCTACTACTTTCTGCCTTGAGTTGACATTCGTTTCCTAAATGAATGAAATCTTTGCTTAGTAGTAAGTCTGTCTTACAAGACCTGTTAACCTTAGGGTGGAGTTGTCCATTCTCCTACATTGGTACTTTCTGATGTGCCATATATTTACCAATCCTGCATGTGTGGTTTCACTCCATGACTTTTTCTTTTTTTCCCTTCGACATAAGACTTGTGCAGGCCTCCTGTTCTTCTGTAAGGTATTTGTGGAGAGCGGCATGATGTAAGATAGGAAAATCTATCTGCGCATACCTGAAAATGTCCATTGTGAAATGGAAGTTTCAGCTGATATGGATTAATTTTCCTATCCTTGAAACAGCAGCAACTATCAAGCTTCTAAGCCTTATTAATATGCGTGCTGTGTTTTAATGAAAGTCCTTAGATATGTTTCCTATGTTTTACTTTACGTCATGATGGACAAAGTATTTGGTGCTGGAAAATGAAGCATGTGTTTGTTGTTTGGTTGTTTGGGTTTTATTTCTAACTAATTTTATTTTTTCCCCCTGTGTGCTCTGCAATTTATGTCAGTGTTGAGCAATACTTGTAAGTTCAGAGGAGTAGTATCTGTTAGGGAAGGCCAAGATGCTAGGGCTCAGATGCAGCATTTCTGAGACCACATGTGACAGGACAAGTAGCCTGAGAGAAATCCTTGAAGCTGGAGCTAGAGTGATCAGAAAGAGAGGGACTAAATGTGGAATTTGCCTGGGTTATGCACATGGGATGCAGAACAAAGGGATTAGTGGCAGTGGCTGCTGGAGGCTTCCTTTAGGAATTGAGGAAGGAAAAGATGAGCATCAGTGACTGAAGGACCCCTAAAATCCTTTCACTGGATGAGGACCCACACAGGTATAAAAAGCATGTTTCTGTTTTCAGTGCTATTGGCAAGTTCGGGAGCACTGGAGACCTAATGAGTATAAGACTTCGTTCTCCAGGTTACTCAACTAGCAGTAGGTTTCACTGCTGTTTACTGGAGGAGATTTGGGGTCTGCATGTGTGATTAAGGATGTATGTATGGATGTTCTGTGCGTGCCCTGAACCTCCTTCTGTCACTGGACCAAAGAGAAGAAAAGCTTTTCAGTTTAGCAGTTTGGAAATTCTACCTTGTTTTGCAAAGGACTCTTTCAAAAATTACTTGAAGAGTCTGTCTTTTTGTAATTCGACAGTGAATTACTTTTAAAAGGAATAGTTTGCTTGCCTAGTCAGATAAGGTAAAGTTTATATTATTTTATATATATTCAATTATAAAATATATTTAATATATCAAAAAAGTGCATTGCTGCAATTTGAACAGGTTTGTTCTGGTGATGTATTATTATTATTAAAACCTTTTGTGGGAAATAAGAGAAGTCAGCTGACTATTTTTAGATTACATGGCAAGATTGCTGCCTGCATACTTATACTAACACACTATAATTGCAAAGTCATCTGTAATCCATTTGTTATGATTACCTGTGAGATGTTACAACAGCTTGTGCATGAGTAACAGTACTCTGTGACTATGTACTTGTGACTATGAGTATACAGCTTGGTTTGTTAGTTAGCAATGCAGAGAAAATATGCTAAGGTGATGAATCAGTGTGCCCTGTTAAATTCATCCTTAGGTTACTTACAAAATCTAGGGAAATAATAATTTTCATTGTCTTTTCAACCATGTTTCTCGCTTGTTAAAGACTTCTAACAGAGACGCCCTCTTACTGTATTTCAGGAACTGCTTTAGTAACTTTGATTTTAATTCCTATGCTGTCTGTATGTGTGATTTTTCCTTTCTAGATGGGAAATCCTTTGGTCCGAGGCACCTACTAAGGTGAATGGTCCTCAGGCACGGCAATTCACACCTTGTATCAAACAGATAAACTTTCCCACAAACTTAATCCGTCTGGAAGTGAACAGCTCTCTTCTGGACTATTACACCGAATTGGATGCAGTAGTACTACATGGTGTGAAAGAGAGACCTGTGCTTTCACTTAAGACTTCAATGATTGATATGAATGATATAGATGATGATGAGGATGAAGAAAAGTATGGCTGTGGAATGGACACCCTTAATAAACAGTTCAGCATTGTTACCCTCAGGGAATGGCCGACTAACGGATATTTTGATAAACTGCCTTATGAGGTAAGAAAAGCATGTTTACACTGACTATATTTGTCTTGATCGTTAAAGGTGCGTTACAGGGTACCAGTCAAGATTGGTTTTTCCAGTTCCTTGCATTCTTTTGTGAATCTCCTGCAGTTACTGTATAGTTACGCCTGAATTATGTAAGTCTGTTTACTTCCATCCTGAAATAAACTGGGTTTGCACATAGTGGAAAGGAGCCTTTACCTGCTGGTCTGACCTCTGCACTTGGGCATAGGCGTGATTTATTCCTGGTTTTCAGGGTACTGCAGAATGCCAGAAGCAGCATTTGTTTACTGCAGTAACTCATCAACTGCTCAGAGTGCTTGCGGCTTGAATTGGACTCACTTTTGAAAGTAATGAGATATGCTGTCACTGATTGTAGGGCACTTTCAGAAATACGCAATCAAATAGCATTTTGGTTTTGTCACATCTTTCATCTCTAAGTACCTCAGTTTAGTACATGAAGGCCATGGCTAGGTGACTCTCTGCTTAAGTAACCTGCAGAAGTTTGCTGTGCTTGTAAAGAGGAAAGAGAGAATATAACAACTCTCTCCTGTTGCATCTTCTCTTTTAAGTCTTCATTTCTTGAGTTTGGGTTTTTTTGTTCCTGCAGTGGAATAATAAATGAGGATACTGGCTTCATCCTGACTTAGCTCTAGTGGTGGTTTCTTTTTCCTCAAAGTCTGTATAGTGTGTGTACTGAAGTATAGAAAGTACTTTGCCTATGCAAAGGTGCAGCTGATTCCAGAACATCTTAAAACATACAACTGTTTGAAAGTTTGAAAATACGTTTTAGTCATTCAAAGAAATTAATTGTAGAGAAAATTTGATTTAAATCTAGGGAAATCTAGTTTGAAAAGGCTGGATAAATTGATTTGTAGTATAATAGACTAGTAGAGATTGATTAATCTCTTTTCTGCCCACGATTGCACATATTAAGATTATAATTTAGGAACTATTTGTGTGGTCCTGTTACTCCTATAAAATTCTGTCTCCATGTATTTTATTGTGCTTTTCTGCTTTTCTGTTTGTGTACTAGCTTCCTTTTTTATTCATTTTTTAACATGTTTGGTTTCATGAATGCATTTATATAGTCTGTCAATACCAAGCAAATTTTTTTTTTCCCTTCTGCTTTGATTTAAAGAAACTGAAGATATGGGTGGAATATTTGTCAGAAAACTACAAAACACTATTTCTGGACCGGTTTGTGACAGCAGAAATCCCAGTCTCCTATTTTCTTGGTCCAGCTGGAAGGTTCGGGTATCAGAACAACAAAAATGTTGTACTTTGTAGTATGACAATTCTTTTTTTTATCATATCAGATATGGAAAGAGTACTCTGCATGCTGGCTTCAAGACTGACAAGTGTCAGATTTTGCTGGGAAATGTTCGAACCTTGTAATGAAGAAGTAAGGCAACAACTGCTGACTCTTTCCAGTTTTGATTGATACATTACATGAAAAAATGTATCTTTTTAGATGTTCATGTTGGTTGTGAACATATAACTGTCCTAAGTCTTCATATACATGCCTATTCTTTATTTGAGCTGTTTCAGGCTTTTTAATACTACTGTCCATAATTCACCAAATAGACAGGCTGAATGGTCTTCCATGCTAATCTTAAAGTAGGCAGCAGTTCCTCCAGGCTTTGTTTTGCCTTCATTGTCTTTCTGAAACTTCCACAGACTATCCTTTCATAGACTGTATTGTTTCTCAAAATAGCATTAGGAATGGCCTGCTGCAGTGTGAGCTCTTCATTGTTCCTGCTACAGAAGAGAAAAATGCTAGGCTCCTGGGGCACAGACTTCCTTAGAAGAAAGTGTAAAATCTTGGGTGAACTAGGTGGGAAAATTTTCCTTCCCTGGTCATGAACAGTGTTAATCAGCCCTTAGTATCTTTGATGTACTATCATCTGTTCTTCATAATTACCTTAAAATTGAGAAGGGATTTTCTAGGACACACTTTATGTTGTTGTGCTTCTTCCCAGTTATCTTTGACTAACCTGTCCTGCTTGTAAAGTGGAAGGAGTAAGGCTTAGTCTTAGTTGGCTTTACAGGAACCCTTGAGACCTGAAGGCCTGAACAAGTTAAAAACCTTTGAGGAAGGTGAGGAATATCTGCCACAGCATAATTGTTGCGCAGTTTGAGAGTCACCAAGATGTGCCATGTACCAAGAACTTAACTTTTGTACTCCAGAGAGGAGAGTCAGAAGAAATCCTGTGTGCTGCAGTCCAAAAGATTTTTTATATATATATATAATT